TAAGACGTGTCGACTTCAACTCCCAGAATTCTCCAGCCAGCAAAGCTGGCTGGGGAATTCTGGGAATTGAAGTCAACACGTCTTAAAGCTGCCAAGGTTGAGAAACCCTGCAATCTAACACAATACAGGAATACATTTCTGAACAAGAAATGAAGTGCCCTCAGAGGGGGAAATCCCTAATATTAAAGCATCTTTTGTACACCAGGAGTGCATTTCTGCAACTTCCCAAATGTTAGTGTGCGTAGTAATGTTTTGACTCTTTATGTATTGGGGGGTAGGGCTATAGTTTGGGGGTTTAAGGAACAAACTGGGTGTATAATTTCAGAACAATGCCTATTTTTTTCTGCTCCCAAATTGTTGGGCTTTCCACTTTCAAAGACTTAAGGCACCCATTCATCCTTTCAGAATGCAGCTCTTGCCATGCCATGCAAAATTGGGTGTTGGGCACCCTGTCTATAGGCTACAGTTTGCACAACAGTATTATTTTCGTCTCAGCATCAGCAAAGATGAAGACCTTGCAGAAATACTGTTTATATTTATTGAGAAATTATGTCACCGTATTGGATTCAGGTTTCCATCCCCTTCATTGCTCCTGAGGCATGGCTGGCCTGGATAATATTGATCTGTCCCCCCTATGCAACATGCTGTTTTCCCCCACCTCCAAAAAATAAGCTTGTAAGAGGGAACTTCTGATTTATTTATCCCGTTTTCAACTTAACCAGTTGTCTCTCCTTTCTCAAGATGAGGCTCGTTTTCTCTACTCACATAGGACAACGCAGAGGAGATCGGTCTCCAAAATTGATTATGGATTTATTGTCCCAGGAAGTCTGGGGGGGGGGGTTTTAGCCTGGCATGCAATTTTGCCCAATAAACACACCAGGGTGGAGATAATAAAGTATTTATTCTGCGCAGAGTAAAGTGCCCGGGAATAATTTCCAGAGCAGGCATCGCTATGTGTCAATCAACACAACTTTTATATATTCTTTAAACAAAGAACTACATGATCGTTGGCAGACAGAAATTATTCACACCCTTGGGCGGGCAAAACACTCCCAAAAGGTGGGCATTACTGCCCAAAGATGGGTGCTTGTTGTTGCTAAGGGAAATATGAATGAGGTGGGTTATCTTTCTGCTTGTTAGCGCAGGTGAGCACAGGACAGTTCCCCTTGGCGGGAGGTATCACTGTACTGGCCCTTCTCAGCTCTGACTGATCAGAAGTGCTGTATTCAAAGAGAAAGAAATTTGGTTTGCAACTTAATTACCTGCTCTGTTCCCATCAGCTCCTGAAGCTCAGTTCTGGGCCATACGTGTTTATGCTGCCTTCTTCAAATTAACCCTAAAATCAGCATCGCATCAGGTTGGCAAAGCCAGGTCAAACGCGTGTGGCCGTGTTCAGTAACGCTCCATGGGCAAGACCCCGATACTGTACAAAGAAAACGGGGTACATTTATTATCAAGCAACAAGAAACTACAAATGCGTGACGTAACTGGTTACAAAAAGAAAAAGAGATTACAAAAACCTTTAAAATAGATTCTCTGTGTCGTGTCACACTTGTGAAATGTCAAACCACAACTTTCGGCTAGTTCTAATTGTCTGACCGACTTCCTCTGGAAATCTAACCACTAATGCAGAGGGAAAGCTACGCTAAAAGCTTGCTAATTAATGGCTGCTATACTTAAAAAACTCTTGCTAGGCTCAGGAGCTCTACGGCAAAATATCTATTAATATTCCAATTGCTTAAATTCTTCCACAATTTGTACAAGTATCAATTTATAATTTGTCATTGCGGGGGGCTCCCTAAAAGCAGGGAGTGGCTTGCAAATTCTGGGCGAGCAAAAATCGAACATATTGACTGGTTTTGGGCAACAGGATTATTAACAGGGAAAGACCTAGCAGGCCTTTTCTTTTTTTTTGCACTGCATGACAAATTTAATTAGTTTTAACCTTTCTTTTTAATTGTTTAACCTGATTTGCAAATCCGGTTCTTTTGGTTTATTGTTTGTTTATTTATTTATTTAAGTGGGCTTCTCTGCTGCTCCAAATTGTCAGCAAATTTTGGGTTCCTTTCTGTCTCTGGGTTTAGAGATTCAACAATCCTTTGAATCCATAAACTGGGTTGACTCAGAACTGAGTTTCTTGTGTGAATGCAGCTCCTGAGCACCCTCGCTGGGTCAAGACAACAGACTAAACCAGTGTTTTTCAACCATGGCAACTTTAGGATGCGTAGGCTACAACTCCCAGAATTCCCCAGCCAGCCTGCTAGGTAGGGAATTCTGGGACTTGAAGTCCATACATCTTAAAAGTTGCCAAGGTTGAAAAACATGGGTCTAAACCATAATGCATCTTGTTTGGCTTTAGCTCAGGCTGATGCATAAAGCTGGCTGTTGTAGCCTGGCCATCATGGTTTAAGGTTGATCACCTATGACTGATTCAATAAACCACAGCTTGGGGTGCATTGGATAAACATGTCCCAAATATAATTAGCAATTATATTTGTATATTATCTGTCTATCTGTCTATCTATCTATGTGTGTGTGTATAATTCCATACATGTATAATTATATACTTGTATACAAATATATCTATACAATTATATTTTTATAATTATTGTTGAGTAATAATTATATTATGGGAGCCACCCAGAGTCACAAGCTTGAGATGGGCGGATATATAAATTTAATAAATAAATAAATAAAATAATAAGTAAACTATGTTTCTGGGAACCACTGCACGGCTAGCTTTCTACTGGAGCCTTGCAAGAAGAAAGCCAACGCCCCAAGGATTCCAACCCGCTTTCCACCTCTACGGATCAATCCAACGCAGAGCAAACTCGAGAAATGCCGCCCCCGCCCCGGGGTCTGAAATGGTACGACCCATCCAGTTATAGAATTTCTCGCGAGCCGCATCACGTGTCCAGAGGGGAAGAGGAGGAGAAGCGGCCGGGGAATGACGGCCTCCGCCATCTTAATTCCCGAAAGGCCTGCCGGGGAATCTAAGATGGCGGGGAGGACCCGGCCCGAATCGGGCTGGCCGGCAGGGAGTACGGCTGCCCCACGGCGCGACGGCCCGGCGGCTGGTGCCCCGGTCCGGTGCCGCGGACCCGGTGGCGCCGCGCCGC